CTCTCTCCTCTCTCTCTCCCCTGCTTTCTTGGCCCACTAGCCCCTCTCACACTTCTCTCTTGCTCTCCCTGCTGTGAAACAAAACAGGAGCCACCTTGTTGTTAAGGAGCCACATTGTTATATATTGTCATCAAGTCTCCATACCTCACAAGAATAAGTTTCCATTTCCTAAGCCTAAGGCATCCTGCAAACTATGATTTTTGGCCTGCGCTGTACATAGGACCCCATGATGTTTGCCCACCCCTTTGCCTTGCTAAACTCTAGAATCTGTGATGTGATTGCCCTTTTGGCTTTCAAAAATGTGTCTTTCCGGACACCTTGATGACTCCCCTTCCACGTGATGTATTCTTGCACTTATTTTTATGCCTCCTTTCTAACAGCCAACTTTCCCACAGCTGTTTTCTATCAACCCCAACCCTTCCCTATAAAAGGGCCTCAAAGGCTAGTGAGAGGCTGCTCTCTGGAATGTGAGAGACAGCCAGCTGGCCAGTTCTAAATAAAGCTTGCTTTAATCAAACAGTCAAGGATCTGGTTTTTCTCAGGTCTAACACTCCCTCCCCCAGCACTTTTCATGGCCTGGTTCAGTCTGTTAACCATGTTCAATGTACTATTTTCTCTCTTTGTCTGGATTCTTCTAGATGCTTCTGGCTGTACTCTGCCCCATATCTACAATAAAAATCTGCTCCTCAACCACATCTTGGAGTAGTCATGTCCTCTTTTTATTCAGTTACCTCTTCCCAAAAGACTATTTGTATCATGTTGACAAAAACTAACTGCCTCAACACCATGCCCAGTTTTATGTGTTATGGAATTTAGACTTTCATGAATGCTAGGGAGTACTCTGCAAAGTCAGCTACAACCCTAACTTGAGATTAATGGCTTTGTTTGTTTGTTTGTTTGAGACAGGGTTTCTCTGTGTCCTGAAACTCGCTTTGAGACCAGGCTGGCCTCAAACTCACAGAGATCTGAATGTCTCGGCCTCCTTTGTGCTGAGATTAAAGGCATGCACCACCACTGCCCAATGGAGATAATGCTGTTTAAACAGAATTTCTCCTTGTCTTTCCAAGAGCTGTTATTCTTTTATTCATGTACTTAGTGGGCTTTTCTTATTTCTTCCTGGAAATGTGGTCACAGACAAACGCTTAGAGAAGTCTAGACAGGGTTCCATGGGTTGTCTCCTAAATTCAAAAGAAGAGAAACCTAAGGCAGATTGGGCCACCTGGACTGGGGATCTGGGGAGGATCTGATGTGGACACAATTCAGGAATTTGGAATGACCTGGTTGGTTGGCTTTGTACCCAAAGTTTAAAAAAAAAACATATAAATATTAGCTCTACATATTTTTCTATTAGAAAACAGTAAGAACCCAACAAGAGAATATAATTACTCAATATGCAGAGAAACCAGAGTGACATGCCAGCCATATTATGCAAAAGAATCAAGATGAAAGAAGAGTGAACATGGGAACTCGCTCATAGGGTATTCCAAAGTCATAAGGAAAGAACCAGGCGTAGTGATCCAGGTTTGTAATCCCATTACTTGGCAGTTGAGGCAGGGAGGTCAAAAGTCGAAGGGCAGCATATGCTGCATGGAACTATCCCCAAAACAAAGCAAGGGCCAGTGAAATGGCTCAGCAGTTAACAGCTCTTTACAAGAGTACCAGCAAGTGCTGATTCAGTTCCCCGCACCTACATGGTGACTGACAACAGACAAGTTCCATATGATCTGACACACTCTTTTCACTCTTCAGGCACTGCATTCATGTGGTGCACAGACATACATGCAGGCAAAATACATAGCCACATAAAATAAAAATAAATATTACCAACGACTGACCCAGATGAACGAATCATCCCCTTCTTCTGAGGCAGCAACACTGAAGAGTATAACTTGAGGGTTTTGCCTGTTTTGCTGTTCATTCATCTCCATGTGCAAAACTCTACTTTAACACCTTAACATTCACCCACACAGAAACTTAAGGTTTTCACATGAAAAAACCTTGAAATCCTCAGACTACTTACTGAAGAGTTTACCTAAGCCTACCCATCACAGAAAAAAATTATATTTCAACTCCTTAACACTACATGCTAGAACTAGATTGCTCAGGAAATGGCCATTTAGAAACTAGAATTACGCCGGGCGGTGGTGGCGCACGCCTTTAATCCCAGCACTCGGGAGGCAGAGCCAGGCGGATCTCTGTGAGTTCGAGGCCAGCCTGGGCTACCAAGTGAGCTCCAGGAAAGGCGCAAAGCTACACAGAGAAACCCTGTCTCGAAAAACCAAAAAAAAAAAAAAAAAAAAAAAAAAAAAAAAAAAAAAAAAAAAAAAAAAGAAACTAGAATTACCAGAGACAAGGAAGTCCAAAAATAAAAGCAAAAATCCGCACACTTTAATAACCAGACACAGTAAGTTGTGATGTCTTAATAAAAACATTTAGCACCTAACTCCAAATGATCCATGATACTGGATCCCAAATGGCCAGTTTCAAGAAAGACAACTGGTAGTGTAAAATGTACTGCTTGACAAGGTAGAGGAAAATCAGCCTGTCCCTTCATATATTGGCCCTAAACAAATGACCTATGAGGCAAAATTAATAAATCCTCCTCAACTGTTATAAAAGACTTCCAACCCTACACCTTCCATTCTGTCTGTACAACCTACTGTGTTACACATCATATTTAATAAACACTAATTTTGCCTTTTTCTGTCTCATAATACATTCATTCACAGCCTATCACTGAAGCTCTCAGCATTATCCATGCATAGCATTTGTTTGCTCAGACATGGAAAGATGATAAGAACTGCTTTCAAACACAAACAGGACCATAATTCTACAATTCGGATCTTTCCCCCATCTCCTACTTCCTCTTCTCAGCATTGGGATTTTGTCTGGCTTGAACCTGCGCAGGCTTTGTGTGTGCTGTCACAGTAAGTCCATTTCCAGGGTCTTCTTTTGGCTTCTCGGGGCATCATGCATGGGCATGGTACACAAACACACATGCATGCAAAACACCCATACACAAAAATGTTCTAAAAATTAAATAGTATTCAAGGTATTCTATATTATTGTGGCATTAATTTTTTTTTATTTTATATGTATAGTGTTTATATGCCCGCATGTATATATGTGTAGCACATGGATGCTTTCCTAGAGGCCAGAAGAATGTGTTGGAGCCTCTGGATCTGTAATTACAGATGTTTTTATGAGCTACCACGTAGGATACTGGGAATTGAACCCAGGTCCTCTGAAGAGTAGCCAGTGCTCTTAACCACTGAGCCATCTCTGGAGTCCTTCATTTTTTTTTTTTTTTAAATAAAGTGCTTTAGTCATCCTCCTGCCTTGTCACTTCCATCCCCTGTCACCTCTAGTTCCCTTTATAGTTCCCAAAGTTCAATGTCCTGTGTGCCCTTTTGTTCCACCCCATCCTCGCTCACAGAAAACCCACATGCTGTGTGTCATGTGTCATAGGCTGCAACGGCCAATGACTTCCTTTTTTAAAGACAGGATCTCAGTGGGTAGCTCTGGCTGGTTCGGTACTCACTCTGCAGCTGTGCAAACCAGGCTGGCCTTTAACTCACAGAGATCACCTTCCTCTGCCTCCTGAATGCTGAGAATAAAGGCGTGCCCCACCACGCTTGGTCTTAGAATGGCTTAATACCACCGTTTCTAGTTTAGATTTCTGGAGGCCAAACCCACAAATGCCAAAACACACAGGCACCAGATCAGCAAACAATAATGTCTGGGACACACACCACAGCAAGGATCCCGTATTAATTAAAAATTGCCTAGCTAATTGTAAAAACATGGAGCCAGACACTACTCTCATCACCAAACAAAAATAGGTTCCTTGGTCCGCTCTTACTAATAGTACCTGTGCTAGTCTATCCAGGTTGACATCTTGTTCAAAGAACTAAAGAAGGGCCAGAGTTTGGGTCTGGAGAGATGACTCAACAGTGAAGAGAGCTTACTGTTCTTCCTGGAAAACTGACTTCGATTCCCAGCATCCAGGTCTGTAACTCCAGCTCCAGAGGACCTGCTAGCTTCCGCAAGCATCCACACACAGGTGGCATAGTAGTCACACAGATAACATAAGAAGAAAATGTTTAATAAAATAAGGCCCAAGGCGTTGCGTACTAAACGACACAAAGCAGAAACTGATGTACGTTAGCCATGGCAGAGAAGCAGCAAACTCTTTTGGTGTAGTACCCACCCAGTCCTGGTCCAGACTTTAGCACTGTAGTGACATAATCCAGCCGACAGGTGGCGCTCCGCGGAGGCAGAAGCAGAGGCGGCGGGTGGTTCCAAGCGAGCTGCCTACGGTTAAATTCCAGTTCTAAGGGAGACAGAGAGGCTTCAGGTAGGTAGCGAAGCTCGCGCGAACTGGTTAGTTGCGCTCTGGTAACTGTCCTACACCCTGGGTCTGGGCCTTGAAAGCAGAGACTCACTCCTCCCGGGGAGGAGCGAGGAAGTGGCCACAGGACCCAGGCAGGCAGGGGAGTGGCGAAAGGCCAGAATCCATCACAGGAGATTTGGGTGGTTCTGTTGACCAGTGTGAGGTCATCTCACACATCACCCTGTGGTGATTGTGGTATATAACATCAAGCTGAGTTTAGTCTTTGTTTGAATATGAAAGACTGGTAAGGAGACCCAAAGACCTTTATCACTTGCCAAAGAGGACACCGGATGTACAACTACCTACTCTGGTAAGGGTCCCTCCAGTACAGCAGCTAGATACTTGGGTCTCTGGTGGTGAAGATGTAGTTGAAAGAAATTTCCTGATAGAAGCCGATTTCCACATTGGTAAGTCTTCTCCTCAGAAAATTCAGAACAGGAAATGGCTCAAAGAATGTCAAGATAAAACAGTAACAGTCAATTCTGTGGCTGTTGAGGACCATTCACTTTTGACCCAGGTTGTCTGAAATGAACTATGAAAACAACACTCAAAGTTTTTTAGAAACGCAGTTTAGTCTCCCCCCTCTCAAAAAAAAAATTACATCATATTCATTGAAAAGTTTAAAAGAAAGAAAGAAAGCCAGTCTCAGATTCAAATATCTCTGTATTTTGGATAATTACTAGATAACTTGCTTCATCTATCATTAAGAAGCAAGAAACGACCCTTTATTGAGCAGAACCCAAGAAAATCTGCTTCAATACATATATTTCTTGGTTAGTGGGTTAGTGGAGACTTTATTGGAGTTATGGCATTTGCCAATTACAACAGTCTTAACCGGGCTCAACTAACCTTTGAATATCTACACACAAATTCAACAACTCATGAATTTTTGTTTGGTGCCCTTGCTGAACTGGTTGATAACGCGAGAGATGCCAATGCCACCCGAATAGATATTTATGCTGAAAAGCGAGAAGACCTTCGAGGAGGATTCATGCTTTGTTTTCTGGATAATGGAACAGGAATGGATCCAAATGATGCCATCAGTGTGATCCAATTCGGGAAATCAGGCAAACGTACTCCAGAGTCCACACAGATTGGGCGGTATGGGAATGGACTAAAATCGGGCTCAATGCGTATTGGGAAGGATTTTATCCTCTTCACCAAGAAGGAAGACACCATGAGCTGCCTCTTCCTATCTCGAACCTTTCATGAGGAAGAAGGCATTGATGAAGTGATAGTCCCATTGCCTTCTTGGAATACACAGACAGGAGAACCTGTCACAGACAATGTGGAAAAGTTTGCCATCGAGACAGAACTCATCTACAAGTACTCTCCCTTCCACACTGAGGGAGAAATGATGACCCAGTTCATGAAGATTTCTGGGAATAGTGGAACCCTGGTGATCATTTTTAATCTCAAGCTCATGGACAATGGAGAACCCGAACTAGACATAACCTCAAATCCAAAAGATATCCGGATGGCAGAGATATCCCAAGAAGGTATGAAGCCAGAGCGGTACTCCTTCTGTGCCTATGCTGCTGTGCTGTACATCGATCCTCGGATGAGGATTTTCATTCACGGGCACAAGGTGCAGACCAAAAAGCTCTCGTGCTGCCTGTACAAGCCCAGGAAGTACACCTTCACATCAAGCCGTTTCAAGACTCGGGCAGAACAAGAGGTGAAGAAGGCAGGCCAGGTAGCATGGCTTGCTGAAGAGAAGGCACGGGAAGCAGAAAGCAAAGCTCGTGCATTAGAAATACATATGGGTGGAGACATCTCACGGGTCTCCAGGGTGATGTTACGACAGGTCCAGAATACAGCCATCATCCTTCGAAGAGAAGCTGATGTCAAGAAAAGGATCAAGGATGCCAAGCAGCGAGCACTCAAAGAACCTAAGGAACTGAGTTTTGTTTTTGGGGTCAACATTGAACACCGGGACCAAGATGGCATGTTTATCTACAACTGCAGCCGCTTGATCAAGATGTATGAGAAAGTGGGTCCACAGCTGGAAAAGAGCATGACATGTGGGGGGGTTGTTGGAGTCATCGATGTGCCCTACTTGGTCCTGGAGCCTACACACAACAAGCAAGACTTTGCTGATGCCAAGGAGTACCGCCACCTGCTGCGGGCAATGGGGGAGCACCTGGCACAGTACTGGAAGGACATAGCCATTGCCCAGTATGGAATCATTAAGTTCTGGGATGAGTTTGGCTACCTCTCTGCCAACTGGAACCGACCCCCATCTGAGGAGCTGCATTTCAAACGCAGGAGGGCTATGCAAGTCCCGACCACCATACAGTGTGATTTGTGTCTGAAGTGGAGGACCCTCCCCTTCCAGTTAAGTGCTGTAGAAGAAGGTTACCCAGACAACTGGGTTTGCTCAATGAACCTTGATCCTGAGCAGGACCAGTGTGAGGCTTTTGAACTGCAACAGAAGATTCCTATGGGAATATTTAAAAAGGCTCCAAAGACACAAGAAGAAAGACGGAAGCAGCTGACAGAGAAAATTCGCCAACAGCAGAAGAAGCTGCAGGCCCTTAAGAAAACCAAGTCCATCCGTTCCCAAGGTGACCTGAAAAAATTACCCTTGGAAGTGACCACCAGACCTTTCACTAAATGTTCTGCTCAGAGACTTCACTGTCTTCAACTACCGTTGTGTGGTGTGAACAAGAATTCCCGAAGAAGACCTCAGTCCATGCATGTTCCTAGACCACCCAGACAGTTACAAAGGGCTTCTGCCTTCTACAGCAACCCAAAGTCTCCTGCTCTGGCAGCCCAAAGAGAGGCTATGCTCCAGCCACCTGAGACACCCCCAAAGTTGGTAAGCCTCCTGGTTAAAACTGTACCCCAGACTCCTCTGGTCCAATCCCTGTCAACATCTGTAGTCACCAACCCCAACAACCTTTGCAAGGTGGAAACCCCCGAAGCCATGAAAACTCCAGTGATGGAGAAGCCAGATCCACCCGTTAGTCCATCACCAGTACTATGTGATCATAAGCGGAGTCTTGAGGTCTCTGATGAGGAAGAGGCTGAGGAGAGAAGGAAGGAGTCGTGCAAACGGGGCAGGTTGACTGTAAAGGAGGAAAAGATTCAAGTAAATGAGCTCTCAGACAATGCTGAGGAAGAGAATCCAGGGGACCTCAACATAGCTCAGAAAGATAAAGGGCTGTACGTAGAGGTACGTGTGAAAGGAGAGTGCTACAAGGGCCACGTCACTGCTGTGGAGGTGGGTGAGAATGTGGTATGGTGGAAGGTCAAGTTTGAGGATGTGCCCAAGGATACTACCCCAACAGACTGCTGGGTAGAAAAAGGCAGTGAAAATGTATGGTTGATGAAGCCATCTCCAGTATATCAGAGCACTGATGGGCAGCAAGAGGGTGTGAAGGAAGAGGAGGACACCACGGACCAGCAGGCTATTGCATTACAAGGGTCCTCCACTTCTGACTACTTCCGCACTGAACCTGACACTACTGCTCCAAAGACCAACCATGAGACCACTGACCTCCTGGTCCAGATTCTCTGGAATTGCTTACGTTATTTCATGCCCCTGAGTTTTTCAATATCCAAGAAGGAGCTGGGTGCTATGAATTCAGAAGAATTACTGTCTCTTCCTCTAAAAGAGTGCTTTAAGCAATATGAAGCAGGGCTCCAGAATCTCTGTAATTCCTACCAAAGCTGTGCTGACTCAAGAGCCAAGGCCTCTGAGGAGAGCCTGCTCATCTCCCAGAAAAAACTCCGTGAGACAGAGGAGAAACTCCAGAAGCTTCAGACCAATGTCCGGGCACTCTTGCAGAAGGTGCAGGAAGATATAGACATCGGCACGGATGAGGAGCTCAATGCCTACATTGAGAATCTCATCACCGGTGAAGACTGAGGGACTCCGGGAACAGATTTGCTCCCCTTCCCCGGAACAGCTGCTTTTGAGGAGGGAGGTTTCATTCACCAGTTGGTTTGGTTCATGAAGGACAGCACCTTGGGGAGGGAATGAGACTCTGATTCTTTGAATCTTCCTCCCAGAATTGATAAATATTTCTTTCTTAAAGATTTACTTTGTGTTTCATTTGTGTGTGTAGTGTGCATGCCTGTCCTCAAAGCAGTAACCTCATAAGCCTTGTAATCCACCTGATGCAGGTACAGGAAACTGAGCTCAGGTCCTCTGTGATAGCAATGAGCAGTCTTTAACTACTGAGCCATTTCTACTGGACCCAGGTATTCTTTTTTTTTAAGAGACCATACTTACCTTTTTTTTTTAACATTATAGATGGTTGTGAACCACCAAGTGGTTGCCGGGAATTGAACTCAGGCCCTCTAGAAGAGCTGCCAGTGCTCTTAACCACTGCTCTTAACCATCTCTCTAGCACAGAGACCATACTTCTTTTATGTGACTTAAGCAAATGTCAAAACCTTTGCACTTTTTCAGTTGAGGAATCTGAACCATTCAGCTCACAAAGGGAAACAAGAGCCATTCTGAAGTAGGAATGACTCCATAGGACAGGGGTGATTTCTCTCCTAGAGGATCAACAGTGGTGCATTTGAGGGATGGAAGTGATAAAGGGCCTAACTCCCAGACCTGTGTGGCTGCAGGGGCTCAGACCTGGTGTGTGTATGGGTGGGCGGGGGCAGGGTGTGTGTGTGTGTGTGGGTGGGTGAACTTCAGGGTGTGTCAACAGGCTCAACATCACAAAGACTCTTCCTGATGCCCTAGTCTTTTATCAGGACTATGAGGGTCTGCAGGCCAGGGGCACACTTGTTTTGATGTCCAGATAGCTTGATAAATGGATGATTCTTGCTGTTCTAACATCCCATGCATAACTCAATTTCCTGCTGAAGGAGTGATTTCCTGAGGCTGCCATAGAGTCTAGGTTCAGAAGACAGCTCTGACTGTCCAGTTCACTGGACTGGGTGGCATTACAAGTGCTGACCTCCAAAGGATTCCTCAG